GGGTCCGCTTTGTGCGCGGCTGCTGCGGGGAAGACGCGGGGGAGGGCGGGGTGTAGGCCGGGACGTAGGACTGAGGCTCCAAGTTTGTTTCTCCAGGGAATGGAGCGGAATGAGCCAGGTCCAGGTACTTTGAGAAACGTGAAGAGGGGACATAGGAAACTTTTCACGTGAGGCCTTCCGGCGCCCGTTCAGGTTTTTAGAGAGAATAATTCTAGCTACGCCAAGGTACTCCACTTCTCTCGTTCTCCTCTATAAAATGGGAATGAAAATATACAAATACCCACTTCACAGGTCACTGTGAGGATTAATACACGAAATGTTGAGGTTGCGCTGCCCAGCATGACAGCTCGGGGCAGGGCTGCTGCTTCACAGGTCTTCATTTAAGGAGGACTCACCCTCCCTCCACCAGGCTCTCTGGGGAAGATGAAAGAAATGCGGCCCCTAACTCAGCTAGTGAGGATGATCAACGACTCAAATGCTTTAATAAACAGAAACATGTATTAAGTGTGTGGGAATCCTGAAGAAAGAACATTTAATTCTGTCTCCAGGGACTGTGTCAGTCAAATAAGGAACACACATTCCCCTGGGTCTTGATGAATGTTATGGGTTAAATTGTGCCTCCCCAAAAAAGATAGGTTGAAATCTTAACTCCCAGTACATCAGAATGTGACCTTATTTAGACACAGGGTCATCCTATGTAATAAAACCCTAATATGCAAATCGACCGAACAGCGAAATGACCGTCACTATGACGTGCACTGACCACCAGGGGGCAGACGCTCAATGCAGGAGCTGCCCCCTGGTGGTCAGTGTGCTCCCACAGGGGGAGTGCCGCTCAGCCAGAAGCTGGGCTCACCGCTGGCGCCTCCACTGCAGGTAGGAGGTAAGGAGCGAGGGGTCCCAGACTGCAAGAGCTCCAGACTGCGAGAGGGATGTCCGCCTGCCGGCTTAGGCCCAATAGTTCATAAATGTCGTGCACCAGGCCTCTAGTTGCAGATATAATAAGATAAGGTCATGCTGGTGTAGGTTGTGACTAGTGCTCTTATGAGAAGAAAAGAGACACACAGACAGACATAGATACGTTATATGACAGTGGAGGCAGAGACTGGAGTGATGCTTCTCTACAAACCAAGGAACCCCAAGGATTGTGGACAAAGACCACATACTAGGTCCTAATAACTAGGTCCTAGTAACTAGTAACTAGGAAGAGGCAAGGAACAGGTTCTGCCTCAGAGCGTCTAAAAAGGAATCAACTCTGCCAACACCTGGATTTCACCTGCTAGCCTCCAGAACCGTGAGGGAATACATTTCTCTTGTTTTAAGCCAGCCAGCTTGTGGCCATTTATTAAAACAACCCTAGAAAACGAATACAATTGGGTGAGTAGGAATAAAGGGAAGGGAATTAGAAAACTCTCCAAAGAAAGCCTTTCAAAACGGAATGCCTAGTGCAGTCAAGGCCCTGTGTCTTGGGGTATCTCAAGATGAATCAGACACAGACCCGGCCCTCAAGGGGTTACCACTCACGAGGATGCCTGAGCAGCCAAGTTTGCTGACTCCTTCCCAGGAAGACTATGGAAGCCTTTCCCCAACCTCATCATCCCTATATCTATGGCCCCTCCAACTCCACGTGGACAGGACGTCTCTCCAGTTCAAATGCCACTTGTATTGCTGGTTGTTTGCTTCTACAGAGCACTTGCTGCATCATGCCAGGTATCATGCCATCTCTGAACCGGCTCTGCCTGATTTCAAATAGACAAGAGTCTGGCACATGGTAAGTGCTTGCATCAGTCAGCACTTTTTCTCCTGCATAATAAAACACCCCAAACTTAGAAGTGGCTCAAAACCATAACTACTTAGTTCATGATTTTAAGGGCCAGCATTTTAGTTTGGGTTCAGCTGGGCAGTTGTTCTGGCCTCAGCTGGACTCCCACATGCACCGAGGGTCAGTGGCTAGGCAGCCAGAGGCCTCTGCTTCTGGGAGTGGCTAGCTGCTGACGGAGGTAACTGGGCCACAGGTCTCTCCTTCACCAGCAGGCTAGCCCAGACTGGCTCACATGGAGCTTTGGGGTTCTAAGAGCAAGAGCGGAATCAGGCCAGGTCTCTCAAGGTCTAGGCTAAGAACTGGCACTACACCACTGCCATAATTGTATTGGCTAAACCAGCGGTTCCCAACCTTTTTTTGGCCATGCCCCATCTAAGATCTCTCAAATCCTGATGCCCCCGCCCCCATGTGACATATAATTCTTATTATTCAAAAAGTGAACTATTCACGTGGAGGAAGCCTAAAAGGCCATTAACTTAGTCTAAACAAGCTTCCAAAGAAGATGGCATCCATGAAAGAGAAAAATAAAAGAACGAAAGGACAGTTGAAGTACTGAGGAAGAAATCACTAAGCAAGTATTTAAAAAGTAATAATATGAAGTGATATGAAAAACCAGCAAGTAAACTTTCAAAACATATAATAGAGAACTGAAATGCATGTCACAATATATATATTTATATACTGTATATGAAGCCCCTAGAACCGTGGTCGGCAAACTGCGGCTTGAGGACGTTTTTAGCAAAGGCCAGCTTAGGAGTACCCTAATTAAGTTAATAACAATGTACCTACCTATATAGTTTAAGTTTAAAAAATTTGGCTCTCAAAAGAAATTTCAATCGTTGTACTGTTGATATTTGGCTCTATTGACTAATGAGTTTGCCGACCACTGCCCTAGAACCATAAGAAATGCAAAAAAATTCACTGTTAACTCATTCTCGAATTGCCCCCCTTAAAAATCAAATTGTCCCCCATGTGGAGCATGTGTCCCACACTGAGAACCATTGGGCTAAACCAAGTCACAAGTTTAACCCAGGTAAAAAGGTGGGGCAACAGACTCCATGTTCTGATGGCAAGAGCAGCAAAGTCACATTGCAAGGAACATGGATACAGGGATGGCTAGAGAATTGCAGCTGGTTTTGCAATGTGTCTCAGTGCTCAATAAATAATCCCACAATACCTAGTGGGTGCTCAGTAAATATTTACCGACAGTTCTAAGGTTTTCAACCATTGATGTTCAGAGATTTCACGGAACACGATCAATTGGCAAAATTTTATCTCTTACAAAATACCCATTGCCACCTTCAGTTTCAGAATAACAAAGGAAGGGCTCAGAAAGATAGAGCTGTGCAAGGAGAAGCCACACTAAGGCTTCTCAGCTGGCCCAAACGGGTTGCTATGAACAAATCCAGAGCATCTTTGGAGGTCTGGGCCCTTTAAGGCCCTGGTCCAAACCTGGTCACCTGAACTGGAAGCCACATACCCTTCACCTATGAACAGAAAGAGGCTCAGATGTTTGCCAGGGCTTGCACACAGCCCGCTGATGCCTGGAAAGCCTTGCAAACCAGGAAACCTCTTGTGCAATGACAAACTTGTTCGGCTGTTTCCCGGAGGATCTACCCCTTGCTGAGAAAAATAAATCCTCAGGGCACTTGTGGAAAGGACACTATCGTGTGGGCAGAGAGAACAGCTCAACTTAGATGACTGAGAGCCGTGATGGGACCACTTCCCGTCTAACAATGAACTAGAATCAATATCAAGGGCTGTTGTTGGCAGAACTGGGGGGACTATTGGGTTTGGTGATTTGAAAGTTGTTCGTGAACATGGCCGGGGCCTGGACTAGAGGACAATAACAACACATGGTCACTTAGTCTGCATTAGGCACTGCTGTGAGCATTTTACACATATTTACTCATTTAATCCTCATAACAGCCCTTGTCATCCTACACCCTCCTCCCCCACCACGGTCTACTGCGTCATTCTCAGGCTCTAACCACAGTGGAAATAAGATACAATTGTGGCCTCTTTGATTTTTCCCCTGAGCAGAGTTCTTCTTCATGGGCTCATCCTCTCTCTTCCAAGCCTTTGTGGATGTGGAAATCCCTTTGGGTCCTCCTGTGAAGCCTGCTTTCCCCTTAAGGACTCCCCAGTCAACATATCTCAGTGCTCACCACATTGTGTATCTCAGCCTGAGGGAACCTCTCATTTCCTTCTACTGTCGTTGAACAAGTGGAACACCCTGTCCTAGAAATACATGCAGCCTATTAAACTTTTAGATCCTCAAAAGACACTAAAAGCTCTTTGAAGACAATAAGCAGATCTTATTAATCCTTGACTCTCCCTTTGATGCCCAGCACAGTATTGCATCTAAACCTAGATCAGCGTTATTCAATTTACAAGTCATTACCTGTTAGCAGGTTGAGAAATCAATTGAGTGACTGTATTAGTTATTATGGCTGCATAAGAAATTACCCAAAACTTAGTGGCTAAAAACATTTATTGTGCCATGTTTGTATGGGTTAGGGATCTGGGTGTGGCTTAGCGGGTCCTCTGGCTCGGACTCTCTCACAGTCTCTCAAGGCGTGGAATCCTCTTCCTAGTTCACTCCTGAGTTCACACGGTTGCTAGCAGGAGAGAGTTCTCTGAGCTGTTGGACTAATACCTCGAGTCCTCACAAGCTGTCAGCAAGAGGCCTCCCGCAGGTCTTTGCTATGGGGTCTTTCCACAGAGCTTCCTTCAGCATGCAGCTTGCTTTATCTGAGCGAGCAGGCGAGAGGGCAGGAAGGGACGAAGAAACACAGAAGAGATTAATGCGAAGGAGAGGAAAGGGTAGAGAAAAAGAGAACAGTCAGATGAGGACCAAAAAGTGTCCACTGGATGGGACATCAAAGCAGCTTCTGTGCAATGGAGGCCAAAGTGAAGTGACTGAAGAGTAAATGAATGGTAAAGAGTGATCAGCAAGTACAGACAACTCCTTCAGGAAGTGTGGCTGGAACAAAGGAGTTAAACATGGCCTGACCTTGGAAGGGCCTTAGGACCTAGGGAGGGATGGTTATAAAGATGTAGGGCAAGCATGTCAAACTCACGGCCGGAGGGCCACATGCCTCATTTGTCATGCAGCCCGCCAGCCATGAGTTTGACATGTTTGTTGTAGAGACTTGAGTATGTTTAAACTCTGATGCCAAAAAGTTAGGGGACACAGTTGGATACAAGAGAGCACAGGCCTAAACTCTGTAGCCCCTCAATATACAATGGAGCCTTCTGGATCACCCCATGTCTTAATCTGCTCAGATGGCCATAACAGAAAACCACAGAGTGGAGGCTTCAACAACTGAAACTTATTTCTCACAGTTCTGGAGGCTGGGAAGTTCCAGATGAAGGTGCTAGGTGATTGGGTTTCTGGTGAGGTCTCTCTTCCTGGCTTGCAGATGGCCATCTTCTCACTGTGTCCTCACATGCTAAAGAGAGCGCTCTGGTATCTCTTCCTCTTCTTATAGAGGCAACAGCCCTATTGGATTAGGGCCCCACCCTTATAACTTCTTTTAACCTTAATTATATACTTAACAGCCCCATCTTCACATACAATTGCATTGAGGGTTAGGTTTTCAACATATGAGTTGGGGGGGATATGATTCAGTACGTAGCACCCATGTACTCACCTTTCTGTCTTTTACGGGGGGGCAGTGATTTGGCATTTTGTGGGCCTTATTGAAACTGCCAAGCTGGAGCTCCCTCCACCTAACCACACCCTTCCCTTCTCCCCCTGCACTTCCCTCCTCTGACGAGGAAGGTGGAAACTCATGGGAAGAATATTGTTAAGAGAGTTGCCTGGTGGTCAAAATACAAAAAGTTCTTCTGGAAGGGGGAAGGAGCCTGGAGTTTCCAAGAGAAACACACTCATGCCAAGTCCTGGGGTGGCCCAGTGTGACAACTGTATGGACACATATTATTCCCATCAAAGATACCCCCAAATACACTTTTAGCTTCAGTTGTTCAGATATGTCACAATAAAAGTGAGTTTTTAGGAATATAATATGCACTCTCCCCCAAGTCATTGTTATTGGAATAACAATCTAGCCCGTCTCTTCCTGCACTCCTCCTGACGCTGAATGTCCTGCCAATCATTTATTTACTCAACAGGTACTGTGCCAGCCCCTGGAGAGAAGCAGAGGACACAATAGCTGCTCTAATGGCACTTACAGTCTAGTGGAGAGGCGATATTAATTAAATAATCATAACTATGATGGTACAGGTCGTGTGGAAGTGATACACAATGGCATGAGCACCTCCAACAAGGAGGAGCAGCCTTGGCAGAGAGGGTAGGGAAGGCTGCCCTGAGAAAGTCTGTCGGAGTTGGATGGGAATGACGGGGGATGAGTAAGAGTCGACTGGGCAGATATTAGGAAATACAGTAGTTTTCTATGCTGCATACAGAAAATAGTAACAAATTGACAGCTTTGTTTTTTAACCACAAACTTAGTGCCTAAAAACAATACATTTATCATCTACAGTTTCTGTGGGTCATGAGTCCAGGCACAGCCAAGCTGGGTGCTATGCAAGGCTGTAATCAGGTTGCATTTTCCCATGGAGGCCTGACTGTGGAACTGCGGGAGGGGCCACTGCCAGGCTCACCCAGGTTGCTGACAGAATTCACTTCCTTGTGACTGTAGGACTCATAGCAGCATGCTTTTTCAAAGCCAACAACAGAGGGAAGACTAGAGTGAGTCTGTTAGCAAGATGGAGTCTTACATAACTTAATGTAATCACATTCTGTCACCTCTGCCATATTCTTTTAGAAGCAAGTCACAGGTCCCACCCCCACTCAAGGAAGTGAAGATCATGGGGTCACCTTAATGTCTGGTCACCACAGAGAACCAAGCAAAGGGACTAGCAAGTGCAAAGGCCCTGGAATGGGAGGGAACATGGTCCATTTGAGAAACAGGAACACCAAAAGAGAGAGGAAGAGAGGCAGGAGATGAGGCCAGACAAGGGAGGGACTTATTCAAGATTCCAAGAGTAATGGGAAGCCATGGAAGAGAGGGTGGTGATACAATCCAACACACACAGCCAGCCATTGCTAGCCCAGGGCTTCTGGGCCTGTTCAGTGTGGATGAACGAATAACCCCATGCAAATCCAGCCAAAGAACTGGATGCAAGGGGCTTTCACCAAGGAAGGTGAGTCCCATGGCCAGGTGGAAGCTTCACAAGGTCTGCCCTTGTTCTCGCCTTAATCTAGAGCCAGGGTCATACCAGGAGCTGAGTAAGTATTTCTGAATGAATTAGTTGATGGAGAGATGAAAGCCAGGTAGCAAGTCCAGAGCCTACATGGAGAATCAGATCAAAGGCAATCAGAGTTTTCTACTCTGAACCCCATGGGCCCACTCAGTCATCATAAAGAATTTCCACTGACAGCTCCACCCAAGAGAGAGCAGAAGCTCCTGGGAACAGAGCATCTCTGTCTCAACTTGGTGAGTTCCCACTCTTGGCTCCCAAGCTCTGTATACCTGTACCTTGCCTCTGGGCTGTTGCTGGCACCATTCATTGTTTGGATGACAGAGCTCTTTCTGGTTGGAGCTCAAACTATAAAAACAGGCACATGCCACCAGATTTCGTACGGCCTTAAGCATACTGCCCACTTTCACCTTGCAGGCCACGGGTAATAGAGGGAGGGTTGCAGCCATGAAGAATCTTCTACTAAATGTTGGGATGGAGAGAGAGAGAGAAAGAGAGAGAGAGAGAGAGAGAGAGAGAGAGAGAGAGAGAGAGAGAAGAGAAACTAAGCGTTGAATTGTAGTAAACAGGCAAATAATAAACAGGCTTTAAAGGAAGACTTTACACTGAGTGGCCAGATTATTATGACTGGCGAGATTATTATGACCACCCCATCAGTACTTCATTGACACTTCCAAAAATACTGAATATTGAAAACTTCCTAAGCAAATACTCTCAAGGTTTTATTATTATTATCATTTGCATAACTAATTCACTTCATTGTACTGATGGGGTGGTCATAATAATCTGGCCGGTCATAAAAATCTGGCCACTCAGTGTATTATGCCTAAGTAACTTTGAAGAAATAATACCTCATTTTCTGAAATCTACAGCTATGGGCGTCTGACAAGACTTCCAAATGAGGAAATACTGAGACTGAAGCATGGTCCCCTCTGCCATTCATGTTGCTTTCCTATCTGCCCCTCTTCTCCCAGCCTCTTGGCTCCTGGCACCTTCTTGGATCTCATTGGTGCCTAACCACCATTCCCATCAGCCAGACCGTGGCTGAGCCTGACATTTAGATCTCAGGAGAGCACTCTGTGAATGAGAGGTTCCTCCTCTTTATGTTTCAGATGCGAGAACATGGTCATACAGCAGGCAGGTGGGAGAGCTCGCATGTGAAACAAGGCATGTCTGCTGTCATAGCCTGGGCACAGCGGACTGTTCCCAACCACAGTGAGAGGCCAGAGAATTTCTAGAGATACAGCATGTGACCTTTGGCAAGCTCGCTCCTCTGAAGCTATTTCCTTATCTGTAAATAGGCATAATAACATCTACCCTTTTGTGGCGGTTAGGAGTACTAGAGATAAGATCTCTAGAAGGGCTAGTACAGCACCTGACTCAGCCTAGATGCCTATATGTTATCTACAATTATCATCACCTTTTGAACATAGTCTGTCTCTTATGTTCCAGAAGCTCAGGAAATGGATGCTGCTCACCTCCCAATGAGTTCAGCACAGGTGATGATAAAGAGTTCCCCTCTTTATAATGCAGGAGGCCAGCAGGTCCAGGAGAAAGTGCAGTAAGATGGCCAGCCAAGAAGCTTGAGCACTAGTCCCAGCTCCATGGGTCCTGGCTGTATGACCTCAGAGAAGTCATAACCTCTTTGAGTCTGTTTCTTAATCTGTAGAATGTAGATAAGAGTAATAAGCAGCTTGCCTCCATTATAGGCTGTGGCTCGGTTTAAGTGAGATAATGGTCTGGAAATGCTTTGTAAAGTGGGAAAGTGTTATCCAAAAGTAAGGGGCTATTATCTTTATGATGATAGAGATCTAGTGTGGGTGGCCCCATTATGGAGGGTGGGGAGCAAACAATCTTCTTCTGCCCCTGGGAAAGACAGAACCAGAGGAAGAGGGCATAAGGTGACTGCAGTGGAGTTAGAAGGAATGAATTTTGGAAAGCCAGGGTGGCTAACTAGTGGAATAACAGACTACAGGAAGAGCACACCTGGTTTAAAGATACTCAGGCACTTCCATTTAAAAAAAAATCAAGTTATACTAATAAATATTAAAAGTTCCAAGAAAGAGCTGCCCAAATATGGTATAATTTACATGTTCAATCCTAGCAGCACATCAGTTATGGATCTAGGGGTACTGTGTCTGTTACAATTACATCGGCAGCTTCCCAGTCCCCAAAAACATTCAGAGATAAGATTCTTCTCCCAATTTCAACGTGTGGGTTTTTTCCTCACCACTAAGCAAGTCTCCAAACACCAGCTGGGTGTCCTACAATTCAACTCAATTCTGACACTGACTACTTGGAGATAGTGTCAGATCCCATAGGTTATAGACTCAGTCCTACAAGACAGCCCCCCACCCCCCACCCCACTTCAGATGCCAATCGCAAGCCCAAGTTGTCACCTGTGCTATAGATTGAAGATTCCAACTACTCCCTCCTTGGGTTTGATTAATTTGCTAGAGCAACTCACACACAGAACTTAGAAAACATTCTACTTACTACATTACCGGTTTATTATAAAAAGATACAACTCAGGAATGGCCAGATGGAAGAGATGCTTGGGGGAAGATACTGGGTAAGGGTGCAGAGCTTTCACACGCTCTCTGTGTGGCACTCTCTCCAAATCTCCAAGTGTTCCTCAACCAGGAAGCTCTCCAAACTCCTCCTGCCGCAGTCCTTTTTGGTTTTAGTGCAGGCTTCATGACAAAGGCAAGATTGATTAAATCATTGGCCATTGGTGACGGATCTCAATCGTCAGCCCCTTGTCCTCCTGTGATCAGGGGTGTGGGACTGAAAGTTCCAATAGTCCAATCACATGGCTGGCTTGGCTCTCTCAGTAGTGAAGTAGTAGCAGTTTCACTTGGGCTAAACACTTATATTTCAGCCTCACTTTCCTCATTCACAAAATGGGAAAATAGCTATGTTGACGGTACCCAAGATTATCATTTTAATTCCATCTTGGGCACATTGGGGGCAGAGGCAATGCTGCCTAGAGCAGCGGTTTTCAAAGTGTGTTCTGGGGGGCGGGGGCTGAGACCTGGTCTAGGAACCTGTGAGGGTACCTTTTTTCAATTGCATACCTGTATGAACCTGGGTATTCTTCATTTACTTGAATCAAAACATCACAACAAATTGAATGCAGAGACAGATGTGGGACTCCAGCTGTCGTCTACTAAACAGACATTAAAATGTTTGCAAAAATGTAAAACAATGCCACTTTTTTTCACTAATTTTTGGGGGAAATATAAATTTAAAAATAAAAATACGTTAACATGTAATGACATTTTATGAACTAAAGAACACTTTTAAATTCTCAGCTTTAATTTTAATACAGGAATTATCAATAGATATAATCTACACAAACAAAAGGTCTTTGGGATCCTTAATAATATTTAAGAATGCAAATTTTGAGTTCAAACAGTATTTTTGCTTGGAGGAAAGAATAGGGTTCCAGATCTAGATTTTTCAGGCACCTTGTGCTTCAGTGTTTTGTATCTCTCTCTCTCTCTCTCTCTCTCTCTATATAT